ATACCCAGATATAAGGACCAGTGAGAACAGAGACTAAGACTCTGAATGAATATACAGTGTTTATTTACAAGTGATAGTTCATGCAATAAGCCATGGAGGGGACTGGAATCCTGAGGAGCAAAAAGGTGATTAGTGTTATTATAGTCAAGGGTGATAATGTTATTGCTGATCTTCCTTACAATAGAGGTTGGAGTCAGACGTGGGGAGGGCTGACCCAAACGGTTCCAGGTGAAGAAGGTATATGTCTGAACAATGATATATGTTTGGCAAGTGGTCAAAAGGAGTGGAGGCAGCTGATGAGGCACAGAGGAGCTCAAGATCCACAGAGGAGGATTCAGGAAACAGGAGGACCTCAAGTTTACCTCACTGGAGACATGGAGAGAAACACAAATCATTCAAACTTGGTTTTAGACATGAGGAAAAAGGATAGAACAAGACTAGAGTTGGTTGGCAGGTAATGCTCCAGCGCTGGTCGAATGTCTTCTGCAGCTCCTCGTGCTCATCAAGTCGATGATCCACAGGTGTAGCTGATTAGTCTGGCTGTGGGTGCAGGAGCTGGCAGAGCAGAACTCCCACAATTTAAGGTGTCGGCCTCACGTCGTGGATACTCTGCCACCATAATGCTTCCACCATGATACCACCATAGATTCACTATGCAGGCTATGTGAATTCTCCAAACCACCGTGGAGCTATTTGTTCTGTTAAACATTACTGGGAGTCTACCATATTCTTCAGACTATAAGACGCACTTAAAATCCTTTCATTTTCTTAAAAATCGACCGTGATAATCAGATGCGCCTTATGTATTAATTCTGGTTGTGCTTACTGACCTCAAACTGATTTTATTTGGTTGTTGTGAATGAGCTGAATAAAGTTTGACTTATGACTGTTTTGCTTTACTTAATGCGCCTTATAATCCGGTGCATCTTATAGTCCAACAAATACAGTACACGTCCCTACAAATACCCTCCATGTCCTGGATGACTTGTACATCCCAGCAAAGTTGTCATCCAACGTGAAGATGGTCTTATTGTGTAACTTTAATTCATAAATTACGTTTGTTAATGAAATTGTTAAAACCTGTTTTGATTCATAACCATCCTTCTTCAAAATAAAAGCACAAACTTCTAAAACCATCTGACTTTTTGTTTAAAGTTGGTACTTTTATTTGGACTGTTCAGCTGATGTTTCCAGTAAAAATACAAAGAAATTATAGGACTGAGGCTGCAGAGCGTTGCTGTAACTGTTATATAAAACATTTCTGTGCGAATCACTGCGCTCACTGTTCCAACAAAGATTCTTCTTTAGGTTATTTTTTATTCGTTTACTGATACAAAATGGAAAGAAAACATCTTATAATGCATGTGTTTGCATCATTTTATAAACAGAAGCAGCATGTTCACTGAATGGACTAATACGAGTCTAAAATAACAGGATTAATAAAACGTATGAGGTTTTTATGACTTTTAGGCCAGTGTTCTACATTTTTCTCATTATAAACATAATTTTTCCCTTAACTTTTTTAAGCATTTTCCTTCCTTCCTCTCCAGGTGTGGAGGGCATCGCCCAGGCTTACTCCGCCTGTTTGCCTCACATCCGGTTCTACGGACCAACAAACTTTGCTCCGATCATCAGCCACGTCGCTCGCTTTGCTGCCCAGGCCCTGCAGCAGGAGAAAGCAGCGGTGGGTGACGACGACACCTACTTGAACTGTTTATTCCACGTGTTTTTATTCTAACAGCACGCTACAAATGAAATGTGCAGACTGGGCATCAGGAGCAGCTCTGCATGTTTAGGAGGCAGAAAGCTGCAGAAACCAGATCCACACATGGGTCCAAACACTCTGCAGTCTGTCACAAGTCCCACAGCTGCTGACACCTGTCCATCAGCAGGACAGGTGTACTCACTTCATGAGCTCTTCATTCTTAAAAACTTGTGAATTATGCAGCGTGTTTTAAAACCATTGAATATTATGTAGATTTTTAGTTTTAAATAGCCTTTTTTAGTTTATGTGACGTAAACTTAACTTTTTAAAAATGTCTATTGATCTTACGTTTCTACCAGGAACTCAGATTTTATTGTGTTTTAATCATCTCGACGGTGCCTTCTTCAATGTCAGCACACAAATATTCAGTGTCTGTGAGATTATAAATCAGTATATTTGTTTGGAGACATTGTCACATGTTAAATTTTAATTGAGATCCTCTGAACTGCAGGTTAAAGGTGCACTAGTTGTTGAACAGACGAGTCAATTAGTCGATTGTAGGGCATCTTGTGAGTTTTTATATTTCACGTCTTCTAGTCGCAGTCACCACCGCCTGCCCCGCTGTTCCCAGCTCTATTCCACCCAAGCCACGTGGTTGATTAAATAAAATAAACTAAAAACAGCAGAGGGGTAGAGCTGTCATTTGTACCATGGCCACGCCTGACCCGAGCCAAAATAATGTGCTGGATGTGCAGGCGGGTTGGTGTCGGGCGTTTGATTGCATCAGCGGAGGCGTGCAGCTGATGATCCAATTTGGATCACCACCAGCCACGCTGACCGGCCGGTTAAAAGACGTACAAAAAAGTCCAGATGGATGACTGCCAGCGACCCACCTGAAGCTTACCAGTCACCACGTCAGCTGACGCGCACGACCGACAACCATTATTAACTATAATAACTATAATATACGTAAAGTGCTCCACCACCACTCGCCCCGCTGTTCTTAGCCTTGTTTTTTACGTGCCGCACGTTTCTTTCACTTTTGCAGCTTAATAATAGTTTTGGTTTTCCTGTGATATATTTGCAGTATGATAAATGGTAGGAGCATAAATATACACCCAATGTTTTGTTGTTCTTTTTTTTGTGTAAATAATAAATTACGTTTATTTGCAAATTTTTATTTTTATTTTTTGCGAGTACTGTATAATTATAGCATCTTGAGTTCCTATGACGTCATAGACTAGTCGACGTTTATCATGTTAACGTTGACTTTAAACAACATGTAGTCGTTCAACCCCTAAGGCATACGAGATATTTTTCTCACGGGATGAGACGAGATTCTAATGATATCTACAAGCCTCCCTCCTGTCTGATTTCTCAAGTCTCTTCAGACCCTCTAAGACCTGAAAAATTGTCTGTTTTAAATAACTACATGTCAGACTCTTCCTCCTCAGCACGTAGCTACAGAGAAGCAGTAGAAGCTACCTTGGACTTTTTTACAGATATTAATGTGCTTCTCAAAGTCAGTATTTTGCAATGTATTGTGGTCTTGCATTGGTCTTTGGTGGCTGACTAACAAAGTTAGACTCCTACATGCACTTCTCTATGCTGCAGAAACTTGGACCCTGAATGCTGCAATACAGAAAAGAATATGTGCATTTGAAATGACCTGCTTCAGGTCCACTGATCCTCTCATGCTAAAAATGCTCAGATCCCCCGTAGAGTCCAAGTCCTCACTGGAGATCATGACTCCTTCCAGATGCAGGTCAAGAAGAAGAAACTGAAAGGTTTTTTTTTTTTTCATGTAGTGAGACCAAGGGAACTCTTGTCAAATGTGATCCTTCAGGGACAGCTGGTGGGGCTCGTAAATGGGGCGTCCTCCTCGACAATGGGCAGATTACATCCATAACTGGAGAAGGATTGTTCCATGTGGAGGTTGTTGGTGAAGGATGTTTGTACTGTCCCCCTTGGCACTAGGCTAAGGGACTGATGATGGTCTTGACTTATTCGTACTTCTGGTTCTTTGACATCTAATCAACTTTTATTTGTCGTTTGTGTGGATTTATTACTATTGCCAACTATGGCTTCTTTATATGACCAAAAAAAAACAAATAGAAATTATTCTTGAGTTTGATGTCTCAGCATCTTTTATCAACGGTCAGTGTGGATCCATACTTTAACTGTTCATATCTACTTGTTTCAGCTGCTCTGAGGTCATTCTGACACATTACACATTGAAGACTTCTCACTAGCACAATGTAAAATACCAACAAAACTAATTTATAAATACGTTTGTAAATAAAAATAAACAAAAACTAGGTGTAAAGGACCAAAACACAAGAGTTGAACGCCGGCCTTGAATACTGGAAATAGCTATGACTTGTGCATGTGGAGCCTGATTTAATGCATGCACACTGGTTTCAAGGAAAAAGGTCCATTACATGCAAGCTTTAATGACATGTCGTGTGGTCCTGGTGCCTGACCCGTTAGGATAGGCTGCTGCCTCACAAACTACTGTATTTAAAATGAGGGTCTGGGGGTTTCGGAGTGTGTTAGAAACAAAACAGTTAAATTGTTAATTTAAGGTTGGGTGACGTCTTGAACAATGAACAAAGAAAAAAAGCTACATTCAATGTATTTAATAGGTGTGCTCAGATAGAACCATACTACAATATAATATGGTCATATTTCTGGCCAACCTCATAAATAACAATAATTACAATAAGAAACAACCACTGGTTTGTTTTGCCCACAGTTCAGTTAGAAAGTCCCGCCCAGATCCTTCTCCAGGTTTTGTCATTTCATGGCTCCATCACAGAACCGAGGCTGATGTGATATGAAGTCCAGATCTCGCTCGGAGGCTTCCGCTCTTTTTCTCATGAACAAGGATTTAACTCTTCATGAAACGCCTGCTCTTCTTTTGTTTGTCTTCTGCGCTCTTACACATCCCTTCAAGCTCATTTGATCCTAACTGCCTGAATGTGGACGCCTGAGAGGCTTTCATTCCTTTATTTGTTCTTACGAACCCCTCAGTTGTGCTTCACTTGTCCCCTTTCTCTTCTTTCCCCCTTTTTATTTGATTTAATAATCATATTTTTTTTCCATATCTCTGAGCAATCCCCACCAAAAGGAAGCAAACGTGACACTAATTTGTGTTTACTCGGCAGTAACACTGAAAGCTGTCGTGCTGAGCGCCTGTCAGGGGAGTTTGTGCTCAGAATTTATCTACTCTTATGGCCTGCGGGACAAACAAGTTCCTGCATCTGTTGTGCCAGGATCCTGCTGTGTGGATCAGAACCACGGAGGGGAGCAGCTGACTGGAGGGAAGACTGCGTTGCTGTTTTACACCACGGTGCAGCTGAGACCCCGACCAGGACTTTCACACATTCAGGGACCAAACAATGTTATTTATCTTATTTTGGCCTTTAAAGCCTCTGGCCCGGCTAAAGTCTAGACTGAACCACTACTTTTAGATGTGAATGCACTCCAGCTTTCATTCAAGTTCCTATGAAGGTAAATTATAAACAATTTATAGATAGACAGTCTTTCTCAGAGAGTTTAAGGAAAAGTAATGAGCAGAAATGGTTTAAAGTTTTCTAGTCTCTTATTTCAGTTTAATAAGCCTTACCTGACGTTTAAATGTTACACCTAGGAGTAAGGTGTGAAAACATCTAGACCATGTGTGAAACATTAAAACCCAGACCTGACCCTCAGTTATAGGCTGTGACTTGGATGTTCTCTGTCTGCCAGACCCGGTTCTGGACTGTGATCTGTGAGGACAGCTACTGCGGTCCTTATTACCATCAACTTCTGACCGGACCTGCTAACAAGACCACGCCGCTAACAGAACAGAACCATGATGATGAATGAAAGAACCTCACTGCTAACCGAACCACACTGTAGATACATTTCTTTTTCAACTTTGGCACCTTTGTTTTTAGTATTTTAGTAATATTTTTAGTATGTTTCTAGTATTTTTGCTGCATGCTTTGGCATTTCTTTCTTTCTTTTTTTTTTTTTTTTTTTTGGCGAGTTGAGACAGTTCTTCTCATCCTAAGCATTTCATTGCATTGTTGACCTTGTGTTGATTTTGCATATGACAAATAAACCTAACCTACAGTAAGTAACCTGAACCTGACTGATGGACACTGATGAAATTCTGTGAGCAGAAAGCCACACGGCCACATTTTGCGCAGCCTGTTTTTGAAAAACGTAGTTTTGTGTAACCTGTATTCTTTGCTGTGCACATTATTTTGTTGCCTATTTCTGCCCACATTTTAACCTCCTCAGCAGCTGCATCCACAATTATAATCTCCCAGTTTAGAAATGAAAACAGGCTGATTTGGTCTAGTTATTTTTCCCTCGTTGCAGAACGAAGAGGGGGAAATAGAAAAACCCTCAGTTCACATCCATTTGTGTTGTGAGCATGACAACTTGAAAAGCAAAATAAGTATCAACTTCCATTTTGGTACATGATTTCATCATGGATGCCTGTGGCTGAGTGGTTAGAGCAGTTGTCCTCCAATGCAAGAGTTGGGGGTTCGAATCCACCAGCAGTCCCATGTCGAAGTGTCCCTGGGCAAGACACTGAACCCCTCATTACCTCCAATGTGTGTCCCATCGGTGTTTGAATGTGATAAAACTCTGATTAGTCTCTTTAGAATGATTTGTTAATTAGCTTTGTAGAGTGCTGTATGAATGGGTAAATGAGGCACAGATTGTGTTGTAAAATGCTTTGAGTGTCTTGAGTCCATTTACCATCATGCATCAACACCAATTTTTGAAATTTGGGTAGCTACGTCAAAATCCAAGATGGCTGCTGCCATTTATGTGTATAAGTAAACATTGTGAGCTGGATAACTTGAAAAATAATCAATGTGTTGACTTCTATTTTGGTGTGTGGCAAAAACTAGGCATAAGAAATGTCACCATTGAAAATTGGGTTGCTAAGTCAAAATCCAAGATGTCCACCACCATATATGTATATACGTAAACCTAACACTCTTTTCATTTAAGGAAACTATACTTTATAGTTTTTATATTGCTTAAAAAGTATAATTTCTTCTAACGATTGGGGTGGCCAGAGATTAATCTATGTGGGGCCAAATCCACCATTAGCCACCCCCTGGCTCCTCTACTGCACCTGGTGGTGGATAAAATGGCTCCATCCTCTCTCCAGGATCATTCACTCTGCCTCAAAGAAGAAAAAATAAACAAAAACCTCCCTCTGTTCTTCTCCACAGTGCAACTCCTCCCCACTTGAATATAGTTCACCTCAAACATTAAGGTTTACTTACATTCCCTGTTCAGTTCCAGTCCAGAAAAACACTCATCTCCAAATCCAACAAAGTTGTCAGGTCCTCTGGACAGTTACTTTTTTTCAAAACGTTTTGTCTTTCATCCAAAAGACTTCATCAGTCCAAGGAGTCACAACAAACTCAGTCTTATAAATAACCTTCTCTTAGTGGGTGAACCAGTTTGATGATGCTCAGATGGTTTCTGGAGTCCGCCTTCTCCTCTGTCAATTCGTTTGAGGCGGTCATAGCCAAAGTGGTTCAAAACATCCTGATTCATGCTCAGTAATCCAGGTAGAAAAATCCAACTAAGTTAAATCAGATCCTGTGGATGGTATCAATCAGGATCTCCAAACTACAAACATTCACTATTCAGATCCTTCAGTGACGGGGGACATTGGCGTGCCGCTTCTTTAAATGATTATTTATCCACAGTATGTGTTTTAGACCTGGACTTAAAAACTCTGGGTCTCAGGACAGAACACATTGAACATGTTTTTACAAATCAGGCATTAACTCTTTAAATAATCGACTGTCTAAATACACATGCAGAACAAGCAGCATCTGCTTCAACCCACCAGATGCTAAATCTGTTAAAACTTTGAGCGACTGGATTGCGACTCATACAGATAAACTGAGAACCTATGTGAATGTTGTGAGACGCATTAGAGACTCCGAGGTTAATAACTTCAATGTGGAGGCGGGGCTTAAAAGGCAGCAGCACGGCTCACTGATTGCTTGTTTGCAAACACTCAATTCAGTGAGACTGCAACAGAAATTTTACTCATTTTCCTAAAAAGTTTGAGTTGCAAACTCATTTCCAACCGTTTCAGTTAAAGACAACTATTAGGTTTAAGTCCAAACTTTACCAATATGGGTTTAGGATAGAACTTCAACACTTATACAAAAAGGTTTGTAGGCTCAATCATCCAGGTAGATAACAAAAAAAAAGGTTAAATCATCATCTGGACCAGTTTTTCTTATTTACAAAAGTTATCTTTCTCTTCTTCTTTAAATTAAACAATTTTTTCAGCCTTGGCCACAGAAGCTGTGGTCTCGTCACCATAGTAACTGACAAGGTTTAAAATACATCAAATGAAGCCAAACTTCCACTGCCGTAATGGAGAATAAGCTAACATTTCATCCGCTTGTCATTTCCAAACATCATGTGCCTCTGACATGTAAAGCAATTTTCCTGATGTTTGTGCAGATGTGTGACACTCTACAGACACCCCCCCCCCCCCCCCACTCCCTCGAGTAGATATCCAGCAGGATGTCTCCTGCACATATCTGAACGGAGTGCAGTAGCTGGGTATCATTATGCTCCCACGGTGCTTTTTGTCCCTAATTGCACCCTGTCACCCGGAGGGGAACAAAAGGCACACAGAGCCTTGTACTCGACTGTGTGATGTGTGCCAGAATCCTTTTGTTTCTGTAAGGAAATGATTGCAGACCCTTTTCTTCTTTCCTATTACAGCCAGTTCAAACACAGGAATGAGTTGCACACAATGAGTTGTGACAGCTGCAGTGTGTGTGTGTGTGTGTGTGTGTGTGTGTGTGTGTGTGTGTGTGTG